AGATTCTTCTATTTTCAAACGTGATGCCCTTTAGATAGATACCATGAGTCTGGACTCTGAGAGAGAAGTTTGAACTACAAAACATGGTATTTGAAGCCAAGGGAATCTTTAAAGTCAACAGATAGAGTTTGAGGTATAGAAGTTGTCAGATGATGGAAATTAAGTAGTCAAGAAATACTGGAGAACTTAAAAGAATGTGGCATTACTGAAGGCCAAGATAGAGACCTTGCCAGGAGGAAGGATATAGAATATCCATTGTAAAATGTAGCTTTGTCAAATGTAGCTTAGTCCTTGAATGTTTGATATTCATATATAGAGCAAACATTACAGTCCCGATTTTAATAGTTATTAGATTATATGACCTTAGGAATTAGCAAAACTAGATTTCTGACATACTCAACCATTCAGATTGCAAGATAAAAACTTGAAGTGAGATTGTAGTTCACCAAAAGCTGTCTAATGCATATCCACTCTATATCCTCAAGCAGTTCTTAATATTACCTACTGAGACTCAACATGGTAATATTTTCATAGGAGATATTTCCAAGACTTAGGCCCACTAAAGAATGTTTATCAGAACACAAATCTGATTATCTCAATATACTGATCTTTAAAAATTAGTAATTTTGCAAAATTTAAGACATTATTAGAAACAAAAAAAATGGCATTTCACACTATGGTGATGACCTAGTGTCTTGAATGTCAAGTCAGCTAGGTTGTTTCTTAGGGATGGACCATACAGTTTTTATAATTGTTTAAGAATTTTATATTTCTTCCCCTCCCCAGCACCTAGAATAGTGCTGTGCCTTCCATAGAGTAGGCACATCTTTTAAATCTAAATTTGATTTTAACAAATTACACAGCTTATTATGTAAGATTGATGTACATTTAACAGCTAGAAGAAATAGTTGACAGCAGGAAAAAACAAGGGACCTATCAAAAGTGAACCAGTTTTGTTTGTAGTTTTCCACAGTAGCATTTTCATTTTAGGGAAAGAGTGAACAAAAGTCACCATTGTTAACCATCTATTAAGAAGAGCCATATACATGTATTTAGCCTACTTAAACATTTCTAATAAAGATAACCATGAACTGGGTGTGGTAGCACATTACTTGGGAGGATGAGGCAGGAAGATCACAAGTTGCAGGCCAGTTTAGGCAACCTAGTGAGACCCTGTCTCAAAATTAAAAAAAAAATAAAAAGGTCTGGAGATTAGCTCAGTGGTACAGCACTTTGCTAGCACTCACAAAGCCCTGAATTTGACCCTCAGTACTTCAAATAAAATAAAGTTAAAATAATGGTAACCATGAATCTTCAGAGAAAGGTTATGTGTTAGTTTACCTTTAAAGAAAAATTCTATAATACACTTTGGGAATGTTTCCATACAAAATGGTTAACATTTTAAAAGTTTATATAATAACAGTGGTAAATTCAGTTCCATGGAAAATTCACTTATGGAATACCTCATACTCCAATAGTGTTGTATAAATGATGCATTATTGTGTTTTATGATTACATTTTATCACAGCTGTCACTTGAGTAAACTGAATAACTTCAGTAAAATGAAATATAAATGTATTCAAAGCAATCTTTAAATATACCTAAGATTACAAAATGGTACAGTCCTATACTTATAGCATACATTACATGTGTCTACATACCTTTATACTTTTGAACACTTGTTTAAAATTTGATTTCTCATCAACACTTACAGTAAGTTCTGGTAATTTTGTTCTCTTCTTAACATTCTCTGCAAATCCTCCCTCACTAGAAGCAACAGATTAAAACCAGACTAGCAATTGAGGAAAGGTTTCTATTGCAACCATGTGTGTCAGAAAAAAAGGGATTAGGTTTCCTTGTCCGAGAACATCAAGGGGAACCTCCACTTCTGCAGACACACCTCTATTCCTCAGTAATGGAGGGTTTATACCTAGTTAGATTTAAGTGGGATAAGAGAAGAGTTTAAATCCACTCTTAGCTAGTAGTATAATCAGCCCTCAAGTCTCAAAGTATCCAGTTTTGTTTCTCTAATTTAATTCTAAGTGTCAGGTTGGTGTTAGATGCTGATCAAGGTAAATGGAGAGTTGCCCTACACATTTATTCACTTAAAGAAGAATTTTGTAGACTGCAAAATCTAGATGGCAATTGTATTCAAAACTTACTTGAAGCACAGTCTACTCACCCCTGACCTTTCATTTAGATTGGATGTGTTTTTCTAACAGAGAAGGGGATTCCAGAATGGATGAAATCTTTCTTTTTATAATCCTGGGGGTACAGCCGCAAGGCTCTGGTCATGCCATCTTATGCTGGACCCATTTGAAGGAGCCAAGTCAAAGTGAGGCAGTTGTTAGTGGGATTCTACCCTTAGGGGAGATAACTTCTGAGAGTCTTTAAAGTGTGTGGGAAACTAATGATTTGGTGGTGGTTCTTTTTCAGCTTAACTCTGATTCTACTGCTCATTTTATGCTTAATTTAACACTTAAAAACTTAATATAATACAAGGGTAAATTTTGGTTCTGTGGAAAATTCACTTATGGAATACCTCATTCTCCAACGGTGTCATTTTAATGATCTTATTTTACCATGGCTGCTGTTTGGGTAAATTAATAACTTAAATGAAATATAAGTGTTGCACTAAAAGTAAATTTTTTTTTTGGTACCAGGTATTGAATCCTGGGGCACTTAACCACTAAGCCACATCCCCAGCCCATTTTATATTTTATTTAGAGACAGGGAGTTGCTCAGGCTGGATTTGAACTTTTGATCCTCCTGCCTCAGCTTCTTGAGCCTCTGAGATTACAGGAGTGTGCCACCCTGCCTGGCTAAGAATAATCTTTTATAGTTGATGAAACTGGTCCACAGATATTACTTTGACTCAAACCAAAGAACAATACAAGCAGAAATCGGAGAAACCTCTGTCCTCAGATGAGTGCTGTACTTTTCAGTGACAGCACTGTAAAGCTGAAGAAGTATGGCAGGAGATGGTCCAAGTGGAAAAAGGTTTCATAGAAAGTGACATTCTTGTGTCAGGCTTCAGAGTTAAAACAAGTTAATATCTCATTTTTTAAAAAAGCTGATGCTTACCTCTCCATCCCTAATAGTTAAAAGATGCTCTTTTCCTACTAGAGAGTGCAAATTAGTGTAACAGAAGGCATATCTTGCATTTGGAGAGACGACTTAGCAGTTTTAAGAAAGGCATCACTATTGGTTTCTTTCCAGAAGATGTCGCCTGACAGAATCAGAAGAGACAAAAGGCCTTGAATAGCAAAATGTTTTTGTTTTGTTTTTTTCCCCTCAGAGTCCTTTCCCCCTAGAATAAAGGGGGAATAGTTTTTGTGTTATCAGATTCAACTTTTTGTCTTAAAAAGTCTGACTCCCACTCTTAATACAAAGAAGACATTTTGATTTGGGTTAGCAGAAGGTGATGAGGGTGGGTAGAAGATGGGGCAGACTGAAGTGAATAATTGGCATTCATTAATCTTCAGAAAAAAGGACTCTATTAATTGGTGAGTCTTCAGTGTGCAGCACCCAGAGGAAACCAAATTATATAGGAATGTTGTAGGGCTGGAGTTCCTGTTAATGCTTCATGTTTTCTCCTTCATACTCTTTTTGAAATAACAATTTCAACATTGGAGAACTGGTCTTTCAATGGGACAGTGAATGACTTGCTCCCTTAAATGTGGATCGATAATATAACAGTTTTGGAGAATTACAAGAGTACTTTCGATGTTCCCCATCCCCACCATTCATCTTCAGGATTAGGACATATATTCCATGGAGGAAATGGAACAAAA